ACCTCCAGGTCCCTACAACCCCAAGAAAGGCAAAACTGAAAAGAAAAGATAAGGCAATGCAGTGAATAAACTTCAAGAAGAGGCTCTTCTCAAGGCCAGAGACTCAAAAATGTTGGCTGTTGGCACCAGAGGTACAGTGTCCAGGTAGCAATGAGTATTTGTGCTTCATCCTATCACAGGATGGGCTGCCGGTGAATGTGGGTCTTACTTCATTGTCATGGACTTAGTAGCAGTGTCTCTAGGTTGCCCTACAACAAAGTTCTCAAGGCGGCTCATAAGAAGCAAGCACACCATTTAAAATTCAGTGGAAGTTGTATCTTTCTGGGAAGGATTGCTGCCTCCTGGCAAAATGTCGGAGTTCAACCCTCCTTGTCCCTGTGGAGCTGCAGAAGAGACAAGGAAGGGAGGTTTGGAGGAGATTCTAAGGAGACATTGGGGGTCAAAGACTGAAGAAGAAGAAGTTCTGTGGAGTCCTTACCTGACAGATGACAGGAAAGGAGAAAAACAACAGTCACAAGACAATTCTTTCCTCCCACTGAATACAGGTATACCTCAACATATTTCAGCAAACTTTTTATTAAAAACTAAGCAATATGCACATGTGAAATGAAACAACCAGGACAGTAAGCCTTACATAAGTAAACAAAAACATTTTGTACTTTATAGAGGCCATTCCAGGGATGACCTTGCTTTCACTTCCATTTACTTATGGTTTCCATTTGGGGGGCTAAACTTATAAGACCACACTTTTAAATATGCTGGGGGCATCTGCTCTTTCTTTTTTTCTCTGTTTTGCTCTTCATGCATGCCAGTGATGGAGTCTGAAGGTAGCTGCTGTTTACCTTGGCTGTTCTAGGCAGGAACACACAGTGATAGTAGGATTGGCTACAGTAGAATCCCATTCTTTCTCTGTTTAAGATTTGTTTAATGCAATTTATATTACAGATATGTTGATGCAACCTGACACTAAAAGTCAGTGTTTCTCCAGTTCTTTTTTACTATCTTTTTTATGCTGATGCAACTAAAAAAAGTCCACCTAGACAGAGGACAAGGGAGAAAGGAGCCTGTATGGCTGTAAAAACCATTTGTAAAAAGGAGCTTTACGTTAAAAGCATTATTACATGTGTTATGCCTGTAGCTGTTCTATAAGTATTATTCAAATTCCCTAGTGGTGGTTTCCCTTCTATCATTTCCACCATAACTGCTGGTCCAGATATTTGTTGTTGTTGTTGTTGTGTGCCTACAGGTAATTTCCAATTTATGGTGACCCTAAGGCAACTCTATGATTGTGTTTTCTTGGCAAGATTTGTTCATAGGGACTTTGCCTTTGCTTCCTTCTGAGGCAGAGAAAGTGTGACTTGCCCCAGGTCACTCAGTGAGTTTTCATGGTCAAACTCTGGTCTACAGAGATATAGTTCAGTGCTCAAACCAGGTATTACTGCTATGGCTTTCTTATTTCATTTCTGTGAGTAGTTCTCTTCACGTTAGGGCTCCTCCACATGTGCCAGTTGTTCTAGTAAATGTTGGGTTACTTTGTTACTGGATGCCTTGTAATGGTTGTTCTTGTTCCCACATCCAGTCATGAAGACAGAAAATGACAGAACCCTACTAGTGGTCACATAAAGCACCCACCCGAGACCACTCCATCATCAGTGAACTATAAGCTATTCTAGACAACAATGCTGCCCTCTCAAAGATTCTTGGTGACAGGTCTTTACTTGCCTACAGAGAGCGTCCCAATGTTAAACAGATACCTGTAGGAGAGCAAGCAGATACCTATAGGACAGCAAGCAGTACAGATGGGCAGACAAGGCCTTGCCATAAACCCAGATGCCAATTCTGCCCGCACATTTACTCAAGAAATGTCATCACAGGACTTAATGACATTGCCCACAATATTAGGGGAACTTTCACTATCTCGTCCTCTAATATGATATATGCAATCCTCTGTTAACAATGTCTTTCAGCAATTGGATAAACATGGAGTCTCTGCGCCAGAGGATAAAATGGATATATATCAGACGTTAGGAATGAAAATGCACAAAAACCAGTTGCAAAATGCTTCAGCCTTCCTGAGCATTCCATCTCTGACCTCAGGACAACGGTTCTTCAACAACAACAACAACAACAACTGCAAAAGAAGACTGGAAAAAGAAACAGCAAAATTGGAACATATCCACAAACTCTATATCTTCAAACATGAGTTGAACAGAGACAAGGGTTTCCTGGCACACTACACACATTATAATGCTAGTTAACACCCCAGCCTCATGAGGGCTCCCTTGACCAGTTCATCACATCTCCTTTCTGGTTCCCAGCTAGCATCACACTACATTCCAATAACTCTCTCCACTATTCAGAATACATATCCAGGGGTAGCTGTGTTGGCCATATAGCAAAGAATAATAACATCCATGATCCACAAAACAGTGATACTTTTGTTGGGTCAGTCAAAATTCACAACACCATCTCATGTGATTATCTTTGCCTTGGCATTAGGCAATATCCTTAGACAATGTCCCCCATGACCATTGTCAAAACTGAACTTGTCAGCTCATCACCATACAAGCTTTGCATTTCTATTGCTATTTACACACAGAGCCTACTATTAAAGGTCTGTTCCTAGGTACTTCACTCTATGCATCTGAAGAAGTAGACTTAAGTCTATAAAAGCTTATGGTACCAACTTATTTCTTTCTAGCCTGAAAGGTACTACAAGATCCCCTTTGCACACTGATTTTCCAGACTAACACAGCTATGTCTTTGAATTGTCCTCAGGATGTGGTTCTTCACTAATTGTCTTTTACAAGGAAGCAATGAGTAAATTTAGCAATTTCCTTCCCTCTGAAAAAAAAAAGTATTTGAAAATCATGAAGTTTTTCAAACCTATTTAGAAATTATTCTGCACAAAATTCACAGGTGTTGATATGCATAAAAATAGCACTTTCTGCCCAGGAAACAAGTTGTGCAGAAAATAATATGTATACACATAAATATTATTTTTCTGAACAGAAAGAGATGCTTTCTATGAAGAACAATTTTCTATGGAAGGTAATCATGTGAAAATTTTGTGCAGAAAAAGTGCCGACCTGCAAAGATTATTGTCAGTCCATGATTATTCTCATCAGGGTTTCTTGACATTCAAAAAGCCAAGTTTTTAACCATCATTTTTGAATATTATCTCTACCACCCCCATTTTGTTCCCTTTCCTCCCTTCCTGAGGTATGGTTAACTATGATGGTAGTGGGGTTTCCTTCTCTCCCCATCATCCCTTCCATCAACACTTCCTTTATCCTCCTCCTCCAATATCCATATTCTCTGGCTTGCACATTGATTTTTTTCCATGTTATCATAAGGTGCAATACAACTTTGGCACTATAACTATAAAAGTGGGAAAGTGGAGAAGAAGAAACATTCAGTCTGATAACCAGAAATGTAATAAAGGAAGAAAGGTTAGAGAAAAACGTCCATGGCAAAAGTCACACCTCCATTCAAACTATTATCAGAAGTATAGGAGGAACTGAGACAACAGATACAGGGCTGGGAATTTACCTCTGCCTATGTCAGAAAATCATGGGGCAGGGGAAAAAACTGGTTTTAAAAGTTGTGACTAAATTTATGAGAAACAGAGGTATATTAGGAGGTATGTCATATAGATATTTTAAAAAATCCTATTAGGGACAGAGCCAGTGTGGTGTGGTGGTTTGAGCATTGGACTATGATTCTGGAGACCAGGATTCAAATCCCAGCTCAGCCATGAAAACCCACTGGGTGATCCTGGGCAACCCTGGGCAAGTCACACTCTCTCAGCCTTAGAGGATGACAATAGCAAACCCTCTCTGAAGAAATTTGCCAAGAAAACACTATGATAAGTTCTTCTTAGGGTTGTCATAAGTCAGAAATGGCTTGGAAGGCACACAACAACAAGGTACAGATACAACTCCCTTCACATTCCAAAGCTTTTAGTCTGGATGAGCTCTGGTTTGCTCTATGGCAAGTTTGGGCAACTACAGTAGGTCCAGAGATCAAATTTCTGCCCCTAGAATTCTTCCCTTTTGTAAGAGGTGGTCAGAAGTCCATTTCAGGATTGGTTTTTTAAATGTTAAAAGGAGCAGAGTTCCTTTGCTTCTAGGGTTGCATGGTTAGGACTATCCCACACCCTGAGATTTCAGGGCCAAAATCTGAGACCTAGAGATGTCTCCTTGTGATATCACAAGAGACAAGCCCTGTCGATGCTATAAGGATGATGTTACAATGGGCGGTCCCTAGTGAGCTCATTATGTTTGGATATATTAAGCATCACCAACTGCTACACAGAGTAAAAATCATCATCATCATCATCATCATCACGTCTAACAAGTGATGAAAATATATATATTCCCATTCTTTTTTGTCCAACTTGATCTTGCCCTGAGATTCTTCCCCCTTGCCCTGAGAACTGGAGAAGACAGCCCAGGCCAAGCCTGGAGAAGTGGCAATCCTATCTGCAACCTATTAAAAAGGTGACTTACCCTACTACAGGTTCACTCTGGTTTTGGCCAGAAAAAATGACGGTCTAGAGCAGTGATGGTGAATCTTTTAGAGACTGTGAGTGCCCAAATTGCAACCCAAACCCCACTTATTTATCACAAAGTGCCGCATCCCTTTGGCTTTCTAGTAACAAACTCTGGCAAACTCTGTACTGGGGCAACGATGGGCGTGCGTGCCCACAGAGAGGTCTCTGAGTGCCACCTCTGGCACAGGTGCCAGAGGTTCGCCACCACTGGTCTAGAGAGTCTGTTTCAAGGGCTGCAAAAACAGCTTCAAGGAGTCACACTTCTCCCCCTGTTCTAATACTATTGGGGGACCATCGTCTCACCAAGGGCAGGATGAAGTCCCCATGCTCCACTCAGACCATAGCAACCAGTACCTTAGGTAATACCTATGCACCTTTATGAGAGTTAAAATGTCTTACATTCTCTTTGCTAAAATTTAGATAATTCTATGTTGTCCCCAAAGGATGAACTTCTCTGCTTTGATGTGACATTTTCTGCCCAATAAAGAGCTTCAAATAGAATTGTTTTAAACTGATTATTAGTTGTCTCAGTAACAAGAATCTGCCCTGAGCATTTTTCATTTGGACAAAGTAACTATATCTGCATATCTACTGAAGCCTAATAATTTACCAGACATTTCACCCTTCCCAGTAATTCTGTTTAATGTGGGTCAAGATGATTTCCACTTGAGAAAAAAACAATTTGAGTTTCATTAATTTATCATAATTCTCATGGTTGGCACACTATTACCATTGTTTCTGGTTTCTTGTGACCGACTTTCCAGTTTATACAGCTCCTTAGTCTGGATAAGCTCAAAGTTCCATTTCAAAGAAAGATAAGCAGGTATTACAAACATGTTTTGAATGCAAGCCAAATAAGAGCCTATGGAATCATGCCCTATGAGGAACCGCTTAGGGAGCTGGATATGTTTCACCTGGAAAAGAGAAGATTAAGGGGTGATATGATAACCATGTTTAAATATTTGAAGGGATGTCTTAATGAGGATGGAGCAAGCTTCTTTTCTGCTGCTCCAGAGACTAGGACATGGAGCAATGGATTCAAACTACAGAAAAAGAGATTCCACCTAAGCATTAGGAAGTACCTCCTAACAGTAAGAGCTATTTGACAGTGAAAGACATTGCCTTGGAGTGTAGTGGAGTCTCCTCTTTTGAAGGCTTTTAAGCAGAGGCTGGATGGCCATCTGTCAGGAGTGCTTTGATGGCGTATTCCTTTATGGAAGGGGGTTGGACTGGATGGCCTTTGTGGTGTTGTCTAACTCTATGATTCCATGAAACATCTGATGTGTAACTGATAGTCAAAATGCTAATATGAAGCTTCATGGTTTATACAAATCAGGGATTATTAGACTTAGGTGGTAATGAGTAGAAAATGGTCAAAGGGCAATACTACTGAATCTAATTTCCTGAACCACATCTGCCCTAACAGTATCACCCCCACAGTGCAAAGTTTTTACATTATTGATCATACCATCCAGTTTTATGGGTGATTCCTAATAAGGGATGTATAGATCCATTTGTTGTTAGTCTGTGTCAATTTCCCTGTATTTGTTCATGACTTTGTTCCCATTTCAGCATTAATCTGTGAAGTTTTAAAACTTGCAAGAAATTGTGTTTAAATAATGCATGTTTTTGAACCCATTTTCTCACAAAATAAAAATTTCTAAATGTACTTTGCCTAAAAGAATGCACTTTTATATGTAGTTTATCTTAAACCCTTCACTTTGAACTTCAGAACTCATACCCAAGTGTGGTTTTGCTTTTAAAAAAAAGAGAGAGAGGACTGTGACACCAAATTAATAAAATGGCATACTCTTCCAATACATTGCACAGATGAAAACCAGAACATATGTGGCCAAGTAACATCAGAATACGTTAGGATGGCAAAAGTTATTAATGGGGAATAGCAAGCTAGGAAGGTCTGTTTGCTTTTGCCTGAATTTACAGGAAAGGGCAAGATTCCACCAACTCTTCCTCTTCTCCATCCACAAGTTAACTGAATACAAACTGCTTTCTTACTTTGAGCTCACTTTGCAGAAATTGATGTAAACTGAAAATGAAGGGGGGGGATTGGAAGGAGGAGAGAGAAATTGGGACATTTTAAAAGCAGCTGAAAAAATGGGAGGACACAAGATGAATTGGGGCTGTCCCTGACAAATTGGAGGTTATGAAATGGTGCATTACAAGGGAAAATTAATCTTAAATCCAGTTGCTCATTCAAGTACAGTCGATCTTACATAAATGTGTTGCTATTTAGCAATTGATTCAATTAGCATCATTGAATCTGCTTGGGGCTAGCAAATGGTTTTAGGCTTTACACTTCAATCCACACATTAATCTAGGTTGGAGATGCAGATGATAATTCATCAATACCGAATTCCTCAATCACTCCGAAACGCCAGCGAAAATGACCAAATATAGCAGTGGTGCATGTGAAGAAAGTGGGTAACAATGTATCATGGATCCATCCAGGTAAGATCTACTTTATATGACAAGCAGAGGTGCAAACTGAGCAGCCTTCCAGAGGTTGTTAAACTGAAACCCCCAGCATCCTCAACCAGCATAGCCCATGATGAGGAATACTGAAAATTGCAGTCCAGCAACTTCTGGAGGCCCATATAATTGCCATGCCTGTGTTAAAAAAATGAGAATACAGAGAGCAACCTGTTTCTATTTGAAATAGTTTGTCCATCTAGCTCAGTGTTGCCTGCTGACAGCAACTCTCTACAGTCACTGAAACTGGAGAGCCAGCCACTGCTACTTTGTTTAGAATCCTAGGTGTAATATCATACCTATAGCATATACCTGGGCTCAGGTGTGCCATTGCCTGAGGCCATACAGTGAATGGCATCTTATTTTGTACTTTATTTATTTATTTATTTCCTTTTTTTCCTCCTAAATGGGACTCAAAGCAGCTTAATGAATAAATTAAAATGCAATATCTAAAACAATATGGAGCGGAAAAGTTTTAAAAAACATTTTAAAACAAGTTTTAATCTTTAAAAAAAAATCATACATCCAATTAAAACACTGCTTTTAAGGCATTAACAATTAAAACAATTAAAATATTCCCCCCAGCCACCCAGAGCAAAGTGCAGGGTACCCAAAGCCACACAAGTTATGTTGCCCTCCTAATAAAAACAATGTCTCATCCTTGACAAGAAAAAAAAATGACAATAATAAGAAATTCAATAAGAATTTGCCATCTTTTCATCACATTCAAAATCTGCTGCTTGACAAATCTATGCTTTGATCAGCCTAATTGAAGACTTCGGAGGTGTAGCTCCGAGAGGGAAGACAAGGATGTTGCCCTCCCATAGGAATTCTAAAATTTCCCTTCAGTCCCCAAATTTCTAGCATTGCATAGGGTGAAACATTAAAAATAATTCGCTCTCAGAACTCTTATATTTGCTCCATTCCCATTCTCTTGGTAACTTTGCCTGCCCCTTTTGGGATGTCTAAACTGTGTTTTTAAAGAAGATTTAAGTTACTGCTACATGGGAAATTTGGGGACTAAAGAAAAATTTCATTGTTGCAGAATTCTTTTGGGGAACAATGTATCCATTTTGCTACTCTCCCTCTTTGTCCCATAACTACACCTTTGGCAAGACCAGTTTCGCTGCAGAACCTAAAGAAAAACTAATGTCTTCTCATCTCTGTGGGCATCTTGAGATTGGACTTAAACTGCACATCTCATGGCCACTTAACTGGCCTAGTTTTTGTGTGTTGTTCTTCTGTCTTTCCCTCTCCCCCCCCCCGCCTCCAGCTTTTCTGCCCCCTCACTGGCTGAAGAGCTCTGGAGAACTTGAAACCTCTCACACTCTTTTAACAATGTCATGATGATTAGAGATTAGCAAGTAGTCATATTTCTCTCCATGCTGTGAAAAGCTTCACCTACTGCTTTCTGAGCATCAACAAGCTGCTAAAGACACAAGAACAGGGCACAACATTTTTAGTCACTTGGCAGCATGAAGAAAAACACATTATTTCATCTTGCTGGTGCAATAATAGCAAAATTGAGAAGAATGGCAGTACCAAATACCATCCTACATTTCACAGACAAAAACACAAACCCATGTGGACAAGCAACATAACAGCGAGGTCAAAATGGCCAAAGAGACCAATGAGGAAGAACACACAAGCTAGATGAGGCAGCAGCAGTTTGCTTTTGCCAAAGCCTACTGGAAAGGGCAAGGTTTCCCCTG